GGCAGGCGCTTATGCCGCTGAGCTAAATTCCCAGCCCCTTCTACAGCCTTTTTCAACAGTAAGCCCTGTCAAATGTATGTGGTGAATAATTGTTTTTTGCAACCATTTATTAATAGTGTCTTCCAAATACTCCAGATAGATATTTATTTTGCAGAGGGAGTTTTACAGAGCCTGCTCCCTGGTAGTGTCTAGGCAAACCTAAATATTTCACCCTGGATCTGTGACTAAGTCATCTTAGTTCACCAGTCCAGACCAGTGCAGCCCACCATGAACTCTACAAGAGAGAAGAACGTGAAATGCTTAATTTTCTGGTAGCTGAATTTTTAAACAAGTAAATTCCAATTGCACACATGATTATGCCTAATATATTCATAATGTTATCATGTAATCCATTCAAAAATATTAATGAACTACTTTCATAGTCTTTGGTTTGGCTGTGGGTGTATACCAATGGTGGCAAACCTATAGCATGTGTGCTTCAGCAGGCTGTTTGTTATAACTGAAAGCTCTTAAAGGTTCCTATCAGTGGTCACTCTGCAAAATTCACATACATTCTATACTTGCATTCCAGCTCAGTATGAACCAGGTACATTTCAAAGTTCATTTGCTATATATGACCGGTGTCTATGATATCATACAGGATGGATCTAAACCATGATGGTTTCTTCCATCACGTAGAGAATTTTTCACCCTTCACAGGTTACACTGACAGTGATCTTCACAGCCCCCTCTCTCTGAGAAAGATGGTGGAAGCTGCCACTGTCTTCACAAACTTTAGAGACCCCATGGTAAATGAAATGAAATGAAATGCCTGTGTTAAAATGCCCATTTCTGACTATTACCCCCTTGCTTTGGCCTCCATCTAGAGTGAGTACTTCTGTTCCACTTATTCTTCCTTTGAAGTATTTTTATAAATACTCCTTCCCCTACATATCATCCTTCCCCTACACTGCCAACAGCCTTCCTAGCCCTGTCCCTCACAGATGGGTCATGAAATTGGCATTCTGCGCTCTCACTACTTGGTCACTCAGATATGCTTCCTCTCTTGTGGAGCAGTGGACTGGACATGTGAAACTGCCAGTTCATTCATTTATTCAGCAAATAAGTATCAAATGTCCCCTGTCTGCCAAGTATGGCACTTGGCCCTAGGAATAATTCCCACTTGTAAAAAGTGGCAGAGTCCAAGAGAGTTGATTTTGCTCACTGATAAATAATTAACTTTAACAGGACATAAAAATGTGTCATGGAGTAGAACGTACTAGAATATAAATCAGCAGGAGGTTTCCAGATGAAACAAGAGACTTCACATAAACGTCAAGGCTTGCCGTGCACCGCCGAGGGCTATGCCCTCAGTGTCCCCTCAGGGTATACATTTTGAGTTACCCTGCTGTAAGAACCAACTTTGATGGAAAAATCTGAGAAGTCTGATAATTGCTCCCCCTCCTCCATTCTCTATCTCCTTGACTCAAACAACAGAACTGCCACGGAGGCCCTGCCACGTCTGCCCTCATCAACCTTCTGTGTTTACCTAAAGGGCTCTTGATCTCCAGGAGCTTCTAGTTTTAAGGAGATAAACTGGCACTCCTAAAACTATCCATTTCACAGTTAAATTCTAAATATCCCAGTGCCCATCTGAGCAGGTTCTCTAAAAATGCTCACGCATAGTGATGGTGTGGATAATGAATTTCAGAGGGAAACAGAAAAACAGAAGTGACTTTTATGAAATGAAAAACAGTCGGAAAGGGCTTTATGGAAGAAGTGGGGCTTCGATAAGATGTGAAGACAGGATAGGAATTTGGCCATTTAGGGAGAAGAAGGCTGCATGGGGCTGGCAGGAATCAGCAATGACCTGGCAGGGGCAGGTGGCTCTGACGCCTGCCATTGCTTCCAGCACATTTCACAATCATTTACATTCCTTAGAACCTTTTCCCAATCTTAACACAGTTCATGGCAAAAAGTCAAATCCCACTTCCCAGGAGATAGGGGAGTCTTTTCGGGTGGTTGCAGCTAATTTCAGTAAAAATTAACTTCTTCCCAACTCTAATATCCTGGAGTGTAATCATCATGTAACAACCTTTTGCATAATTGTAGAGTAACTACTTCCTGTAGTGCTATGATCTCTGAGCAGATCATCATAATTACTTTAAAACCAGTTTCCAGCAACTTTCTCTGCACCTTGCAGTTCCCCAACCTGCCTCAGGAGATGTGGCTGCCTAGGAAACATTGGCTTTCTCCTGCTCCAAATCACTGTAGCACTCAGGCCTGCCACTGACATTTGCAGGTCAGACACAAGAGTATAGGCAAAGATCATGACTAAATATTTTTAAGTTATAAATCAATCTAATATACCATTAATTAAAATGTCTTTCCTTGAAAAATGTACCTGTAGTTCAGGTGCTCTTACCTTGAAAAATGGACCTGAAGTCCAGGTCCTCTTACCTTGAAAAATAGATCTGCAGTCCAGGTTTGAATGCTTGGATCCCTGAAATCCTTTGTGGGAGCCTGGCTACTCAGCCTGACCCACTTTCCTTCTGTCTCTGCCCTCTATCAGAAGGGTCTTACATACATGACACTCAAATCTCTCTATCTATGTTCTTCCACTTTGGGTCCCCTTCAGCACATGTCCCTTCACCTCAAGAAACATGAGCAGTACTGCCCTCCTTTGGGGAAGCTGGTGCAATAGGAGAGGCCCACACAAGCCCAAGAAGAAGCTCTAGGAAATGCCAGAGTCCACACACAGGAGCTTGATGAGGGAAACAGGTCACCTACGGACACACCTTCTGTGACCCACAGACTTCTCATGCTATGGAGATAGCCCTGGTCATGAAAGAGCCTAAGTGGAGTTCTTATATTACAGGACCCAGGACAGGGACCCTTCTTGCCTGAATATTGCACCTAAGCATTATTGTTGTTGATATAACATGAACAGTGTTGACAGCACTAACACTCTGCCCTTACATAATACAGTACAATTACAATATTATACAGTCTCACTGCTTCCTGATTTACATTGTTTCTAACTCAATTGAAATTTCCCCCAGGGCAAGCCTGCCTCCTGTGTGTTTTTCTGGGCACCTGTGGTATGATGGATGGAGAGACTGACACTTTGGCTGACATGCCTGTTATGCTCTCAAACAATCTGCCATATGACCTGGAATTGTGGCAGCTTCCAGTTTCCTTTGTAAAGATGATGCTTGCCCATCTCCTGTCTAATTTGTCCATTTGTAGACCATCTCCCCTATTTTCTTCTCTAGCCACATCTAGTACTTCCATCCTCCCAACTTTCCCCCATCCCAGGTGCTAAAGTTCAAATGTATTTTGAGCTTGCTTGTGAATCTATTTGCTAATAGGGTAACTATTAAATAATGATTACATGAACAATAACACTTGGGTGCATTATTCTTTTTAACTTGTCTAAGGCTTTCACCTTGGCTCCTCCTATATACCCTTTTAGCAGCCCTACTTAGCAGAGGATGTATTCGTTTGCCTTGTCTGATGTCTGAAAGGAGAAAACACTAAATGAGGCATGAGGTTGGTGTGTAGAAGAGCTGGAATTGAAGCTTTGGTTTTCTGATTCCTACAGTTAAGTGCCCCTAAAAGACAAAGTTCTAGATCAGCGTACTGCATCAGCTTCCTGTACCAGCTAATGCTGTTCTGATATGATAGGCCACTCAAATATTGCCAAAGTCCTAAGCTGGAAAGACTATAAAGTCTAACTATAACTACCCAAATGGATCAGTGATTGTATAAATATTATGAATTCAGATGAATAGTTATTTCCAAGCATACAAATGAAGCTGGATGCTCAAAGAGAGAGACGATAGTTGTACAAGTTTGTGTGTGTTTTCATTCATCTGCTCTGTGTGTGTCCAGCCTTTTGGAGATCCCTTTTCACAGGATGGAGTGACTGAGCACAATGTTTTTCTTCCTCAGCACGTTTCAAAGACAGATTCAGTGTTCCAGCCCCTTGAAATGTAAATCATGTTCATAAATATTTATGCCAACTTAATTAGAAAGTCCTAATTGCATTTCGATTTCTAATTTTAGTAAGAATTAATTTCACCTGAGTCTAAATGTCCTGAAGTGTAATGTATAGATAAAAACCTTTTGCAAGATTGGAGAGTAACCACTATGTCCAATGCTATGATTTGTAGATGGAACAGCCTTGTTACTTCAAAGTCAGCTTCTACCTATCTTCTCTGTATTAAGTGATGCACCGACCTGCCCTAAGAGAAATCTCACATAGTACATGTGGGCCTTCCATTCAGTGTCTATCTTCCCTCCAGATAATACCAACACACCATGAGCTCCATCTTCCAGATAGTTGCAGCCATTGGGTATTGCTCCTGAAAAAAAATCAGTGTCTGAGAGAATGGACAGAAATGACTCCCCCCGACAAAGGCCTTTAGATCTAGCAGCATATTTTGGACTTTTCCTGAGATACAAATGAATCACATCTGAACACAAAGAGTAAAATGGGAAAGCCATCCAAAAAATAAATAAATATAGAACAAGTGACATTACAGAGACAAAATAGCTTTTTTCTTTTCTTTTTTTTTTTTTTTTTTTTTTTTTTGGCAACAAGTTTTGTCCACAGCAATCAGAAACACTGCTGGGTACCACTGACTTAGGGGTGCACCAACAAGGGAAATGGGGAGATAGGCTGGGAAGGTTAGAGCCACCAGTAAGGAACAGGAAGGATATCACAGGCAATGGCACTGACTCCAGTGCCAGATTTACCATCTGAAATTTAACAAACAAGTGAACCAGTTTGGAGAAAAGCAATCTGGGGCGAGAATGGGGGAGGCGTACTGTAAAGGACAGACCAGCACAGGGAGACCTGCTGAGGAGACTCATCATCGTGGCCAATTTAAATGGGATGATAACACTACAGTTTCAGCCTTGTGTTGCCAAGGAAAGGGCTGCATACAAAAGACAGAGTAAAGAGCTTCTGTTGTAGTTAGGGGTTGTGCTCAGAGAACAATTAGAATCAGGACATGGAGATTATAATATTATTTTTATAATGGTTACCAGGAGTTAACACAAGAAAATGCAGGAAATCTATCCACAACACCAAAAACATGGAATTATTTAGTCAAGGGCCTAAATCCCACAGCGATGTCCCACATGAGTCCAGATGAAAACCCAGAGCTCATGACAGTGCATTCCATGAATCCAACTGGAGGTCCAGAGCCCACACAAAGGACACGCCAGTCTCTTTTATGGATCTGTACTGGGAAGATCCAAAGGTCAGCATTGGAAGCCAGAAAGTCCATGCTAGCAGGGTGAAGGAGCTGTGCTGGTGGGATGAGGGCTCTATGCTGGAGCTGAGAAGTCACACTCACACCAAAGACCAGGGATGTCCTGAAGAGCACCACAGCCATCCTCAGTGACACGGAGGCCCCAAGCTCCTCGGACGACAAGCACAGTTGAGTAGATGCAGGAAGCCAGCATGACGAGTTCATCCTGGAGACCAAGCAGCCCACATCTTCTCCTCCAGAGCCAGGAAGCAATGCTCGATGTGAGGACCAGAGCTTCTCCAAGAGAACCAACGGCTCAAACAGCAACTCATAGGAGAATCCACAATGCCTCAATGCCTCGATGCAATAGCTTTTCCTTCTCCATTTCTCTAGTTATGCTGGCAACTTTCCTCAGGTGAGATGCCTACGCTCAGCACCATGCTGATGTAATCCAGCTGGCATTAAGTTAACCACTAGTTTTTAACAACTTCTACTTGGAAGAGGTGTGGGACTGACTTTGCATTGCTCCTGAGAACAAAATTAGGACAGACAAATGAAAGTGACCTGAAGGCCTGTCATATGCCTTCCATGGAAAAACAGCATCAAAACTAATTCCTCCCGGGAAGTTAAGTGTGGGCTGCTTTGAGAAATGTAAGCTCCCTTACATTGGTAGGATTTCAACCACAGACAAGATTTTGGTGTATAGATTTGTTTGCCAAAGAACTAGTGTGTGTATGATTCAACCTCAGTGTTCAGTCTATAAAAATTTCAAAATTATTTGATCACATTTTCCATGTATAATTCTGAGAATCTTCAAGATTTGTGACTAAATAGGTGATGGACAGAGGAAGGAAACTAATCAGTCAAAAAGCTCTCCTTACCCATAATAAACAAAGGCAAGTCATGGAGGAAGCATTTTGTATTCAGTATGTTCATCAGAAAAGGAACAAACAAAACCAAAAATATTTATGGTTTGAAAACCACATGAATTTACTATTCTTAGTTTTTATGAATACCCCTTACCAAGACAGAGCTTCATCTTTGTGCTTCTTCTTGGTTTAAAGATGTTGGGAGTAGCACAGATGAAAATAACACAATTAAACTTATATTCTTTGGAATGACATTATGTTTTTATCAAGTTGTTGTCACATGCCAAGTATCATGCTATGTACTTAATTTGTTTTTAGTAGCAGCAACATTTATTTGAAAAAGCAAAAGTGAAGTGTGAGAGGGAAATTGGCTCTACAGAACAAGTTTGGACCACGTTTAAAAAAAAAGAAAAAGCAAGGTAAAAGTACACCCTGGAGACAGCAGAGAGGACTGTCATGAGGAAAACCATAATAACTAGCTTTCCTTAGTATCTGTGTTCTTTTGTACTGTTCAGATCTTGAAGAATCCCATGAGAATTTCTCCTTATGAGCCCTGGGATTCCACACCTCAGGCTGATGTCGAGTCTAAGCCATCTTATTGAAAACCTGTTTGAGCTCTCATAAGAAGTCCACATGCAGGGCTTTGAGTCTTTTTCTGCTCATGTGTTGGGGAATCTTGTAATTAACAGATCACACTTACTTCCCCAACCAGCTTTGCCCCAACCTGATGGCCTATGTCATTTCCCCAGGAGACACAAATTCCCATCGTTCTGAGGGAGTGAAGGTCTTCTATAGCTTCTTTGAACTGGAAGGAGCTATAGACCGGACCCGCTGGGAATTATGTGTTCTCCAACTATCTTGGGGTACTGTGCTCACTGGTGCTGGATTGAAGAATTAAAAACCTGTCAGAAAACAATGAGGAAAGAGTTAATGACCACTGACCTTCACTATTAGCCCAGATAAGGGAAGCTAGTCAGATTTCCATAGTTCCTTTAGCAGCACTGAAATCTTCTTCCCTCCCACCCCCCAGTACTTAGGATCAAACTCATGACCAAACTCATGACCTTGCACTTGCCAGGCAGACATTTATGCCACTGAGCTAAATCCCCGGCCTGAGTCTTGCTTTTTGAAGAGAAATCTCAAGGTTTCCAGAGACTCACAGAAGTAGCTCTCTCCTTTCAGGTGATTTTGTTCCTCACATAGTTCAGCTGACACTAGCTTTATTCTAGAAAGATGAATCCAATTATCAATATCCTCTACCTTTACTGTAGTAGGTGTGGCAGGGATTACTGAGAAGTGACCCTACCATTTTGGTTTTAATTGATCCACAGGTGTCCCTTCTTTCCAAATTTTTACAAGCACTTGGTCTCTAAGATGGACAGTAGGTAATCCTTTTTGGCCAGGACCCGGCGGGACTCTGTTTCCAGTGCATTTGGACCCTGGTGTACTTGGCCCAGATTAATGATATTGTGAGAGCCTCTTGGTCTCTGGGTCTACTTCATATCAGAGGACAGAAACGGCCTCCCGTATAACATCTCAAATGGGCTCAAACTTAGCCCAATTTGGGGCATGTTACAAACTCTCATGAATGCTATTGGCTCAGTTGGAGCAGGACTCAGATGTCTCTTAGAAAAGTTTTGCCAAATCTTGCTTTAAGGTCTAGTTGGCTTTCTCTACCTTCCCAGAAGATTAAAGCCACCAAGAGGAGTGGATGTGGCACTTAATTCCTAAAGCTTTTGCCACCCCCTGACACTCCCCTTTTGGAGGTAAAAGAGGGTCCATTGTCACTCTTGTGGGACTGGGGTAGTCCAAAGCTAGGGATGGTTTCTTTAAGAAGCACATAGACTACCTCAGGCTTTTCTGAACCTTTTCAGAACGGGTGGGATAGGCTTCGATCCAGCCTGTAAGTGTCGAGTAAGACCAACTTCTGTGTAAATCCTCCACCTGGTGGCATATGGGTAAAGTCCAGTTTCCAGAACTCTCCAGGGTGTGTCTTTCTCCTCTGTATGGGTTCTAGTTGCCCGGGTTATTGTAGGCACAGAGAGGGCAAGATTTGCAGACCTGGCAGGTGGTTGCTGCTAATTCTAGCCTGGGAAAATTTGACCATTTCTAATGTAGCCTCTCTTTCCATATGGAAGGAATTGTGATGTGTTTTTATAGCCTTCCACTGCATCCCTTGAGAAAGGGCCAGTTTGATTTCTAACTACCACTAGAATTTTAATTCCCCTTGTTCTGAGGCTCATTTATTTTCCTGGGTAGTACAGACTGCTTTTACTGGTTCCTCAAGAACTGGGAATAAGACTAAAGTCTTAAGAGGCTGTAAGGCTGACTTTTTCCTCCTCTATCCTTTTGCTTCCCTTTTGATTTCTCAAGAACACTTCAGACATGTCTCTATGGTGCCCTTTACAGTGCCTGTCTGCAGTCTGCTTAGGAAGATGGACTGTCTGTAGGAGTTGCAGAGTTTCCTGCTGTGCTTGATGGACGGCAGTTTATTAGTCAGTAAAGCTCTTTCCTTCCAGATTTCTGCATGGGCATATAGTATCAGAAGGGCATATTTGGAGTCTATATAGATATTTAACCTTCTGCTTTTTCCTAACATCAGTACCTGAGTAAGAACTATTAGCTCTGCCTTTTGAGCAGAGCTTCCTGGAAGAATAAATATATCTTCAGTGACCTGTTATGAACTGACAACTGTATAATCTGCCTTTTGATATCACTGGACAAAGCTACTTCCATCAGTAAACTATACCTCTTCAGGGTCTTGGAGGGGCAGATCACTGATGTCCTGCCTACTTGCACAGATCTGGGAAATGACTTACTCACAAGAGTGACTAACCTCTGGGACTATAGGCATCAAAGAAACAGGATTTATAGTGGCTCAAGTTTTTATAATAAATTCAGAGGTATCTAATAACATAGCCTTAATGAATCATTTCCCTGATAAATGCAAGTAACCTTTTGTCTCCAGAATAGCTCTGACCTGATGGAGAGTCAGGACTGCTATCTCAACCCCACTGTTAGTACAACTATAGCTTCTACTGCTCTCAGGCAGTAGAACCATCCAGCAACCACTCCACCCAACTTTTTGAAAAGCATGCCACTGGGCAGAGTTTATGTCCTATCCCTTGGTTCAAGCACCCCAAAGCATTTCCTCTCTTTGCTGCTACATAGAGAAGAAAGGTTTTCTTTTTTTTTTTTTTTTTTTTTTTTTTTGTCTTTTTCCTTTTTATCGGTACCAGGGATCGAACTCACGACTGCCTGCTTGCAAGGCAGGCGCTTATGCCGCTGAGCTAAATCCCCAGCCCCAGAAGAAAGGTTTTCTTTAGTCAGGTGTTCCCAGTGCTGAAGCCTGGGTAAGGATATACTTTATTTCCTTAAATACATTCTCAATTATTTTTGTCCATTCTAGGGATTTAGGGTCTTTGACAGCCTCATATAAAGGCCTTTAGTCTGATAGTCAAATGTTAAGAACAGGGATAGCTCTGCTTTCATATATTCAGCCTCCTTAATTAAATTTTAAATGTTGTCTATTTGTTTTGCTCAGGTCATCAGGAACAGAGTTTTAAATTATATGTACTTACACAAGAAAGAAAGCTATAGTCCCAGGTGGGATTTCAAACAAGGAAGAAGCCAGTCAGCTAAAGCAGCTGAAACAGCCCCTCCCAGTCATTGTCTTACCTTGGCAAAAGCCTTGAGCATTTCCTTTTAAATGGATAGCTGTATTTTCTCTTCCATGTGGAAAAGGGCCACCATTTGTTTATAATAATTCAAAAAGAAATGAGGTTCCTCCCTCTTGTTCTCCAAAATCAGAGGATTAGCTTGTAAAGCTAGTTGAAAGGAAGGAAGGGGGGGAGAGAGAGAGAGAGAAAGAGAGAGACAGAGAGAGACAGAGACAGAGAGAGACAGAGAGAGAAGAGAAGAAGAAGAAGAAGAAGAAGAAGAAGAAGAAGAAGAAGAAGAAGAAGAAGAAGAAGAAGAAGAAAGGAAGGAAGGAAGGAAGGAAGGAAGAAGGAAGAAGAAAAGGAAGAAACAAGGAAAGAAAGAAGACAGTTGACCTAAACCTGTCTAGTTGCATGAGTCCACACAAATTCTAAGCCTGTTTATTGATGTCACCCACACCACGGTTGGGCATCCTTCATCCTCGCGTTATCCCATACAAACTGAGAAAAAAAAAAACATTCACAGAACTGCGGTAAGCACAGGCCAGGTGAACTTCCTCTAAGAAAGTAGCAAACAAATACAATACAAATGAAAAGGAAAGCCACTTACAAAGCTGGCGTAAGCAGAGACCAGATTAAATTCCAAAAAGAGTAACAAAGAACAAAAAACAAATGCACAGATAACAAGGACCCACAGAAAGAACCCAAGCAGCTAGAAAGAAAAACAAAAGCCTTTTATTCCTTTCCCCCATGGGCCCGGAAGCCCCTCCCTGGAGCCTTGAGAAGAGTCCCCCAGTTCCTAGCTTAAGGGAGACAGGAAATGAAGGAGAAAATAAAAATCCTCAGAGAGAAATAAAGATTGTGCCCAACCAGGACCTTACTTGGTCTCTGGTACCCGAGCTTTACTCCCGGCTTGCTGTACAACATATTAGCAGAATCTCCTGGCTTCTGATTCTCCCGGCTGGCTGTGCCAAAATACTGTTGAGTAGCTCCTTCTGAAAGTGAGAGAGAAATGTTACCGCCTCTAGGTTGCTGACCTCTTCTCCTGAAGGTAGATTCCAGGTTCTTCTTCTCTCCAACAAAAAATTGAACAAAACAGGCAAAAAGCAGTAGAAAAGTTTAATTAAAAAAGTAACAGTCAAGAATGAGACAAATTGTCTGTGCAGAGTGAGCTGAGGCCTAGTAAAAGAAAGTGCATGTTAAGAGTCTACCCTGAAGAAAGCAGGCAGGCTATTGTGAGGAGACCATTTGATCTTTACAACCTGCTGTGGTATTTTAATGTGATCTCCACAGATAGATAAACTGAGGTTTAGATTAAAAAGTGGTTTAGATAAAAAGTGTCCTCAAATGCTCATGTATTGAGGGCTAGATCCCTTATGCCGTGACGTTCAGAGGTGAGGCCTAGAAAAGTAACCGGAACATGTGGGCATCCATCTTACCCCAGGATAAAGCATGGTGAGCCTAGTAGGCACTTGGTGTTTGTTAGTTCCTTCTTCACACTGAATAAAAAAGTCAAGACGTAGCGTTCTCTGTCTTGACCAGAGCTGCGAAGGCCTCTGAGTTTAGAACTCAGTCCTATCACTTTTGAGTTGAGAAAAAAATGCAAGAGAAACATCAACTTGCTCAACGTTGCATAAGTGATTATCAAGGCAGAAAAGCTTCCCAGGGCACCTGACTCCTCGTCTCGGGTTCAGATTATGACACCATCACTGCCAGACTAGGCCTTTTAGTGGGAACACCCCTTAGGGAAGCTTAACTCCCAGCCTTCACATCTGGCTCTGTCCTGTTCCCAGGGACCAACACCAGCCTCCCACAGAGTCAGCCTGCACTGACTGCCTCACTCCGTCACCTCCTAATTGACTTCAAGAAGCAAACCAGATATGGAGCTCCCAGAAGCTCAGTGTGTGGGCTGTGCTTTCCCCTGTCTGCTTTTCAGCTGACAAAGATGCGTACAAGCTTCTGCATGTCACATAAGGCTGTCTGAGACAGGAAGGGGGAATTTTGGAGGTGACATTGTTAGGTGATGGACTCTCGGGGACATACCAGGGAAAAACATCAGCTGCCATTGGGCTCAGAGCATCCATCATGAGCCAAGACCCTGTCCCAGACATGTCCTGACATGGAATTATTGGTATTGCATGGATTCCTTACCCATCTGGTGCAATCCTTATTTTCAGGCATAAAAAAACAAGATCTAACAAAAGGGAGAAACTCCCTCTTTAAAATCTTGTAGAAATTAAGAGGGAAAAATTAGCAAAAATAGATCCAAGGACAAACCTGAATTTTCTGTTAAAACCTCTGCTATAATTTTGAATTTGTCAGTTTCTCCTTACAAGTCTGTTGAGTTTTTCTTTATACAACAAGGCTGTATTATGTAGATACAAATAAGCTATAATTTTATGGGGATTTTGCAGAGACCCTCTTGACTCTCGTGGATCCTAGCATGTTAGAAATCCCTAATTTTTACCTTAATATCTATCTGTCTGATGTTATGTTTACCTCTAGTTTTATAATGTCTTCTTCTGTCCTTTAACTTTCAATTCTTCTGTGTCCTTATGTTTTATGTTTGCCTCTTCTAAAACGCATTTAACTAGATTTGTTATTTCTGTTGCTAAAAACAGCCTTACCATCTCTGCCTTTTTTAGTCTTTTTATTGTGATTATTGATATATTTTGATTAATTTCTATCTTTTTCTTTACATTTATTGTGTATTTTTATTTTTACAAATGAATGCATGACATAACGGGGCATAATAATAATTTTAAAAACCCTACCACCCATATTGTGCAAGCAGAGCATTGTTAAGTCCTAAAAATCGTTTCTGCCTCTCTCCCTTGGGTGTTGTGTGTGCTCTCCTAAGTAAGATATTATTTAGTCTAACTTGACTTTCACCTTTATAGAAAAGGTGTCATGCTGCATGTAATTTTCCATGATTTGTTAAAAATTTTTTGCTCAAGTTTGCTTCTAAAACTAACTCACATGACTGTATATGCTGTGATTCCTTACTTTTAACTACTGTACCTTATTCCAGGTGTAAATGTCCCATAGTTTATTTACCCACTCTCTTTCTTGTCATCATTTGGGTCATTTCCTTTTGTTCTCCTGCTGTGAACGTGCTAGTATATGATTCCTGCACCCTAACTATAAGTGCTTCTCTGCAATATGTATTTGTAAGGAAATTAACTTGGGCTTGCACATGTTCAACTTTACCAAATAATGCCTGTAGGAATTGTTTTCCAAAGTAGTTACATCACTTTATACACCCACCTGCAGTAAATAAGAGCTCCTGTTGTCCGTGTCCTGGCCGAGACTTGCTGTCACCAGACTTCTTTTTGACCTGAAATACAAGTACAAGGTGCTACCTTGTAGTTTTGACTTTTACTCCTCTGAGGAAGCACACAGTTGTTCCCAGCAGGCTGCAGTGCTCAGCTGTGTAGAATGCTGCTCCTCGGCTGTGTGACATAACGGGCCCCCTTCTCAAGAGCATCCGCATTTTATTTTTATTTTATTTTACTTTATTTTGTACCAGGGATTGAACTCACGACCTTGCTCTTGCCAGGCATGTGCTTATGCCACTGAGCTAAATCCTCAGCACCCGAGCATCTGCATTTTAAAATGGGACAATTCCTTTTCTCAAAGGAATAGATCTTAAAAGACTGGAAAGTCATCCCTGTTGCCTGCCAGTAAGAGAGGAAGGCTGAGAAGGAAGGCAGGCTCTCGGTACACCTATATCGAGGGTGACCAACCATCCTAGTTTGCCTGGTCTCAGGAGATTCCCTGATGGCAGTCTCATGGTTATGAAACCAGGAAAATGCTGAGCGAGTCAAGATGATTTAACCACTCACACTGCACACATGCATGCTCCTTGACCCTGTTATCTTAGAAACTTCATTCTGTGTAAGGAGCCTGATTTCCTGAGCACACTCACCCTGACAGCAGCCTGTGGTAGATGCCAGCCTGCAGGCTACAATCTGAAGCCACTTTCTTATCAAAAAAAAAAAAATCTGTCCGTGGGGGCCATCCCTTAATAATCAAGATAAGTAAAAGAAATTTACTTCTTACTTCAAAAGAAAAATCTGAATCACACTGTATTTTTGTCAGTACATTTCTCAGTAGCTCTTTTTTTTCCCCAAAAAATCCCTATCTCCCTCAAGTAGAAAAATGTGACATTTCAACAAGATCATCTCAAAAATGACACAGACTCTGAGGCTAGTCTGCCTGGGAGAATCAGTTGCATTATGTGGATATGAAGTCTGAAGTCTGCCTCACTCTCAAGGTGGGGTATATCTAGAAGTTCCTGGTGGGTGCCTGTATCTGAAAGCAGATTTAATAGGGTTTTTGTACAAGTTGACCTTTAGGGAATGAAGATGACAGGAATCCCTGCTGCAAATTTCTCTTTTGCAACAAGTTAGGAAATCACCAGCCAACATCAACCTGGGTGTTCCCATCCTGAAAATAAGCTTGGTCCTCTTTGGGAATTCAGCATAAGCATTCAGGGACAGATATACTAATTGTGAAAATATTTTGATACTTCCTCCATTTGGTAAAAGTATGATACAATAAATGGTTTAATAATAAAAACTTACAAGTGAAATAAATTCTAGTATATGTGCTTGATTTTAGCTACCATACATGGTCTGTAATTCCAAGACATGTTTTTGGTTTGAGCAGAGCACAGAATGGGGAACACTACAGATATCTTGCTATTTATTTCTGGGACTGAGAAGTGTCCTTCAGATATAAAGTCCTTGAGCATTCTGTAAGTACCTGAAAGAAATGTCTCATGTTGCCAAGTAAAAATGATCTTTTTGAAGGACATTGCTCTCCTAGGTGAGGAATGACCATCTCTCTAGGAGGCCATGCAAGAGGAGGAATCTGATCAGGGCACCGTAACATGTGCAAAAGAGTGAGTGAATGTCCTACAGACAGCAGGAGGGTGCCCTCCCTCTGGCTGGCCTCCAGACAGAAGAGCCTTCTGTCAACCCACCCTCCCCCAAGTCTATAGCTCCCTCCTCCTAGACCAACCTCAGTGGGTGCACTTCTGACCGGGTGGGGAAGGCCTATGGCACATCTCAGATACAAGCAAACCCTGTGTCTTAGTCCTTGATTCTGTCTTGTTTTCTTTCCCTCTTTGGCTTTGTTCCTCCAGCTCCAACAAGTAATGGAGTTTGGCTTTGTACCTCCACGCCCAACAAGTAATCATTATTGCCTTCTCTAACTGACTAAATAAGGATTCTCTAAATGAATAGAATCTATAGAATGTATATACGTGTATAATTGTAAGGTGGGACCTATTAGATTAACTTACACCAAGACTTGATAGTCCCACAGTGGACATTGGTAGACTGAAGAGCTGAGAGGAAAAAGTGGTAGCTGCTCAGCCCAATAAGCTAGAAATTTCAGAATAAGGGGCCAGTGATGCAACTCAAGTCTGAGGCCAAAGGCCTCGTGCAAATCCACCTTCCAAAGCTGAAGCAACAGACCTGATCAATAAGAGTTGAGCTTATGCATGTGCAAATTTTGTGTTCCATTGGACCTGCAGCCTACTGGACAGTGTTGCTCACATTCAGGATAGTTCACTGACATATGTGCTGATTGTCTCTGAAAACGCACTCATAGACACACCCAGAAGTGTGCTTTACCAGTTTCCAGGCATCCTTCAAAATAGTGAAATTGACAGCCAAAATTAACCATACACTAGCCACTGTCAACATGGGATGGTCCCCTCACCACAGACTCACTGCCGGGAGGGGGAGTTTAGAAGAAATAAGTTCCAATTGCTGAAGGCCGCTGCTTCCCACCTCCTCTCCCTTCCTCCTTAGAAATTAAGTTGCCCTCTTAGATTTCCACTGGGAGCACACACAAAGTGAACATCAAGGAGTCTTTAAACAGGAGCCCATTTGCAAAAGTGAGATCTGTGATCCTGTCTGCCAAAATGGCCAACAGCTAAAGCCCAGTCATGGTGATCTGAGAGGTGGACCAGAATGATGATGGTAAGTAAGTAAACAGGATTGAAATCAGTCATGCTGAGGCTCATTGGGAAGTTTACTGTGGATTTTAAATGACTTCTGAACACCATCTACATACCTGTGAATAGTGATATTTTTCTTTTTTAATGTAGTGAGATTTTGGGCTGGGGTTTAGCTCAACGGTATAAGAACTTGCCTTGCAAGCAGGCGGTCGTGAGTTCAATCCCCAGTACCAATAAAAGCAAATGTTGTAAGATTTTCTTGTTTTCATGTAAAAGTCTACCATTTTCATGCTGAGATTATGCTCTTTATTTCTTTTCTGGTTTAAATATGTGATGTGATGATGACAGAGGTCTGTTATTACTTTAGTTTAACTTAGCTCAGCTCAGGTTCATTGTTTAATAGCTTTACTGGGCAGAATAGGAAACTTAAAAAAAAAAATCAGTCCCCAAATTTTGTTTAAATATTTTCCATAAACTGTAGAAGAGAAACATAGCTCTTGGGAATTGGAACCCAGAAGTCCTAAGTTGGCCTTATGTCACAAAGGCCATCTCCAAGACACCAACCAGATACCAGGCTCTCTGCAAGGGCAGCTGAGTCCCCCTAAGGACAGACATATGCTGCCTCCTAATTCATTGATCCCACATGTGGAGTAAGGTACACCTGCCTTTCAGACTCCCTGAATCTGGTGCTAGGAAGCCCTGAAATCAACCCCTTAGTGCGAAATCTGATCATGTGATTGGCAGCCAGTTGATCTGGCCAACACCAACAACCTACATGCTTAACAGTCATATTTCTCCCTTAAAAATGGTTTACAAACCAGATGCTCCACGCTATGGGATCTGGGCCGCTGAGACTACATAATGACAAATGAGTTTCCAAGGGTCATAAACTGGCATCAGTCCCTCGAGCAAATCTCTCCAGCTAAATGCTCTTTCGGGAGATTGCTTGGAAGCCTACCAGCCAACCTTCCCTGGAGGCACATCTGTGCCCTACAGACACTCAATTTTCTTTCAAACTGTGATGAAGGTCACTGGTGTATCTGTCTCTAAGGGAGAATTCGGATCTAAACCAGATGCCATTGGGACTTAAACTGTTTCACATCTATAAATTTAGGTCCTTTCTTAGAACAGTGTTTTTATTCACATGTGGGTGGGCAATGCCTGTCTCACAACCACCAGACACTTGTTAAAATTCATGCTCCCGGATCCTACCTCAGAATGGGATAAGGCCCAGGAATGACATGTGTTAAACCTACTCATGGTGATTCTTCTACATGTGTATTTGAAACTAAATGCCACGGAGATAGAAGAGGGCAAATTGGTTTCTGTTTGCTGGAAAAAAACATTCTTATCTTTCTCCTTCCAGACCCAAGAGGTTGGTGTTTTTTTTTTTTTTTTAATCCTTGAAAAACTTTTTGTTCTTCTTCTCAAGATGGTGTCAAAATAGTACTTCATCACAAGACTGTACTCAGAAAGTCTGAGATGAACTGGGATCATCTCCCGTAGGCTTAGTGCAACAGTAAAGATTCTGCTGCAAAATAGTAGACAAACTGACCAATAACATTTATTTATTACATTTCTGAAAGCCCGGAGAGTCCAAGATCAAAGTGCCAGCCAGTATGGCTCCCGCTGAATAGGGATGGTGCCTTCTCACTATGTCCCTACCTGGTGGGAAGCAAGGAGACAGCAAGGTCTCCAACGTGATGATTCCACCCTTCTGACCTAATTACTTCCCCTCCCCTAATGCATTGGGGGCTAGCGTTTCAGCATATGAATTCAGGGGACACAATATGTAGTCTACAGCAGGGGTCTTCTGAAGACCAAAGAGCAGGAAAGTCTTGAGGGTGGACTCTTTTTATTTCTGATTTTCTAGGACAGGAGAAAGGACAAAGCAAGGAATCACTGTTTCCATCAGTCTATCCACTGTTCTACCAGACAGAAACTGGTACTCTCAGGGCTCTGTTTTACACAAATTCAGTAGCACATGAGAACCACCCATGGCAGGGCAAGATGAATGGTGGTCACAATGAGGGAAGATACATAATCTGATAGACATGAGGGCACTGAACCTTTTATGCCTTGCCTCTCTCTTGCCTTCTACCTTTGATCCCTCTTTCTTTCCCTCCTGAGCTATTTCTAGGGGGCTCAGGTTTTCTAACATCTCTCTCATATTACCATTAACTCCTAATGTTTTACCCGTAAATCCACTCCATGCTCCCGCTAGACCTCACACTGGCTCCTGGCTGTCACTCCAACCCTCCTTCCCAGCACACATCTACTCTGCCCTGGCTGCATCTTTTTCCATGATATAACGCTAGTTCCTGCTATCTGGCATCTGTTCTCATCCAACACTGAAATTGTTCATG